GTGAATGGTCAAGTAATTGTAAAACTTTTAAAAAATATAGTAGTAATGTATTGAGAGTCATTATGAAACTGTTTTGTATGTAGTAAGTAAGATAGAGTCAAGAAATACCTTAATATGATTAGGAAGCAAAACATTCAGCACAAGAAAAAAACAAAACAAAACAAAACAAAGTTAAAGTAGAAGAAATTATGAAGTTCCAGAGTCTAAAGGAAATAGGAAAGATCAGTGTATGTTTATGCTGAAAAGAAAAGAAAAAAGAAGCCGGGAGTAGGTGGCACACGTCTTTAATCTCAGCACTCAGGAGGCAGAGGCAGGTGGATCTCTGTGAGTTCGAGGCCAGCCTGGTCTGCAGAGTGAGTGCCAGGATAGGCTCCAAAAGCTACACAGAGAAACCCTGAAAGAAAGAAAAGAAAAAAGATCCCTTGACTAAGTCATTCGAAAGGGCTATGAAAACACCCAGCACGCACAATATCGTCAGGCCCCTGAGCTCCAGGGTTATCATTTCTTACTAACAGGGACAGCACAGTTTAGAGAAACAACTAACTCCAAATGGACAGCAAAAAGTGTGCAGGAAGAACCTGACTCTCTTGTGAAGACAGAAATCCTAAAGCTGCCAGGAACTACTGTGGGGCTGGAGAGATGGTTCAGCAGTTAAAAGCAGGTGCTGTTTACAGAGGACCTGAGTAGCACCCACATTGGTTCACAACAACCTGTAACTCTAGCTTCAGGAGAACTTGAGTCTTCTTCTGGTCTCCAGGGGCATTTGCCTTCATGTGCACACACCCAGAGACATACACAAGTACACACAGCTAAAAATAAAATAGGTCCAGAGGGGATAGAATTCAGTGGTTCTCAACCTGCGGGTCATTTGACTCCCAAATATGGGTTGAGAGCCCTTTGGGGTCCAATGACCTTTTCACAGGGGTTGCCTAAGACCATAAGAAAACACGAATATTTACAGTATTATTTATAACAGTAGCAAAATTACAGCTAAAACAGTCGAAATGAAATACTTTCATGGCTGAGGGTTACCATAGCATGAGGAATTATGTTAAGGGTCATACATAGCATTGGGAAGGCTGAGAACCACTGGGCAAGATGGATTGTTTGGTAGTTAAGAGAACTTTCTGGGGTTCAGTTCCCAGGACTCACATAGTGGCTGATCAGCAACTCCAGTTTCAGAGGATCCTATGCTATATTTGGTCCTCCATGGATACCAGGCACTCATGTGCTACACTGACATACATGCCAGTAAAATATTCATTCACATAAAGTTAACACATTTTAAAAAGTAAAATAAAGCAAGTCTGCCAGGTGTCTGAGGAAGCAGTGGTGCCATGGCAGAACCTGTTAGCTCTGGAGAACCTCCCAGAGATGAGCTGCCCCAGATGACAGGAAGAGAAGGCTCTGAATCTCCCAGAGAGTTAGGACATAGAGGCTACAATGAACTGGCTTTGGGGCACAAAAGCCAGCCAATGTGGATGAATTTCTAGAGATTCTCCATGACACATCTTAAGACAGGAACTCACTTCCTCAGAGCTGGTGACTCTGAAGCATGTATAGGGTGCTGCTAGAAAAAGAAAACCCGTGACTGAAGAGGAAGGACAAGAGCAGACTGAGAATGCTGCTGGCCAAGAAGCAACAGGAATAGAAGGAAAGGGAGACAAGGGCAAGAGCTGTCGGCTACACAGGGGAGTCACAGGAGAATAAGATGCACAGAGCACAGGAGGGAAATGGGTAAAGAATTAGTTAAGGGACAAAGGGCTTGAGAAGAGAGTGAAGGGGACAAAGCAGAAACAGCCAGGAAGTGTGGTGGTGTACATCTGGCCATCCACGCCAGCAACAAAGATGGGCCATGCAGTTGGAGCCATTCACCTGTGGCACACAGTCAGGCTGCCCAATGAGACTGCACTGGCTCAGCTACTCTGGGCCTCAAGCAACTGGCAGCAGTGAGATTCTATGGGGAAGCCGCTGTGGAAGAAGCGCTAAGGAGACCAGGGCCATGCAGTTGCTCAGTGGCTTCCCCAAACAGCTTCTCAGAGGCAGACATGGAGAGGCCTCTGCAAGAGTTGCAGTTTGTGTTTTCTACAGTCCTCACTGTGGCTGAGAATATCCCAGCTGAGGGGACTTCACCCACAATCCCTTTATGATGTCTTTGTCTTTAAAAAGCACTGACATCTTGCTCCTAATAAACAGAGGTCCTGAAAATAAAAAATATATATATAAAATAAAATAAATCTTTAAAAAAGATTAAAGAACTATTGGAGTTGCATCAGAAAGACTCTGACTCTGACAAAACATGCACATGAACAAAACCATCAGAACAAATAAGGAAACTTAAGGAGGCTGTACCATATAAGGTCAGTCTACAACCATAAATTTCTATACAGAAGCAGAAAACAACATAAAAATAAAAATTTAGAAAACATTTCCAGAAACAATAGTATTAAGTCAGGTGGTGGTAGCACACACCTTTAATCCTAGCACTCGGGAAGCAGAGGCAGGTGAATCTCTGTGAGTTCCAGGACAGCCAGGGCTACACAGAGAAATCCTGTCCTGGGGGAAAAAAAAAAAAAAAATGTGCAGGTTCATTTGTTTTTCACAATGGCGGTGTAGTCAAGCCATTGAGTCATCAAGAGTTTAGTGGTTTTTATGTTTTGTCTTGGGGGTCCTATTTTAATTGTTATTTATGTATACGTGTTAAAGATGTCTGCTTGTCTGTATGCGCATTCAATGCCCATGGAGGACAGAAGATGGCATTAGAGCCACTGAACTGGAGTTAGAGGTGTTTGTGAGCTGCCATGTGGGTGCTGGGAACTGAAATTGGGTCCTCTGCACAGACAGCAATGCTCTGAACCTCTCTCCAGACTCCCCACTTTATTTTGTATTTTTAAACAAATATTATTAAAATAACAACCAGTCATCCATATGGGAAATGCTAAACCTTAACCTCCATACATTAGTCAGCTTCTCAATGTGACAAAATCCCTAAAACAGACAATTAAAGAAAAGTCACAGCATCAGGACTTCCAGGGGCTGGCAGACTGGGCCATCCCTGAACTCACAGTACAGCACAAACAGCAGGAGCATTTGAGGCTGCTCATCTCATAGTGGCCCGGAAACAGAAGGAAGGGACATTGTCCCAGAATCTCCTTGAAAGGTACTTCCCCAGTGACTTACACCCTCTAACCAGGCTCCATTCCTAAAGCATTAACCTTCACCCTACAGCATCATCAGGTAAGAGTAACCCTTCAAAACACGAGCTCTGGGAAGCCATTTAAGAATCTAACCATTTCATGACATAATCAAAATTAATTTGAAATGGAGCATGACCCAAGTAGAAAAGCAAAACAACAAACCTCCCAAAGAAATCATGAACAAAATCATGACTGCCTTAAGGTAAACAAACATTTTTTGAGGAAAAAAAAATCTATCTACTAACTATAAAAGAAAAAAAGAAGCCATAAGCAGATCATCACAGAATCAGTCACTTCTGTTGTAATAAAATACCAGGGCCAAGACAACTGACAGGAAAAAGCGTTTGCTTCTTTATGGACTCAGAGGGATCAGAGTCCACTGCCATTTTAAGAGTAAGGTTCAGGAGCTGACCAGCAATACAGTGAGAGGCCAGGATTAGAGCTGCTCCTGGTGGCATCCAGCCTCTTCCTTTCCCCAAGTACCAAGTACCTTCTGCCTCCCTCTAGAAGCCAAGTAGATACTCACACTGCTGGGTGTTCACACATGGGGAAGTGTGGCAGCAGGCAGGCAGGCAGGCATGGTGGCTAAAGAAGCAAGCTGAGAACTTACATCTTAAACCCCAAGCCAGACCCCAAACATGAAGCAGACAGCAAACTGGGAATGGTTCAAGTCTTTGATACCTCAAAGCCTCCTGTAGTGTCATACTTCCTCCAGCAAGGTCACACCTCCTAAACTTCCCCAGACAGCACTACCAACTGAGTACCAAGCACTCAGCAGAGCCCACGAGGAGCACTGTCATTCAAACTACCAGAATCACCCAAAGTAAAATATACCTGCTCACGAAGAGATACCCTTAAATAGCCAGGTGGTGGTTTAATCCTAGCACCACTTTTAATCCCAGCACTCAGGAGGCAGAGGCAGACAGATCTCTGAGTTCAAGGCCAGCCTGGTCTACAGAGTGAGTTCCAGGACAGTCAGGGCTACACAGAGAAATTCTGTCTTGGGGGGGGGGTCACTAAAAAGTGAATAAGCAAACCAATCCTCAAATATAAGCATTCAGCACACATTTCTGATCCAGAATACTTCAAAACAACACAAACAGCCAACACAGTTTTCAAGAGGGACATGACACTTAATAAGCCTCTAAAAGAGCATACCTGGATGGCCAATAATTACATTAAAAAGGTAGCCAAGGGCTGGAGGTGCAGCTAAACACAGAGCTGACTAGATTCCTAGCACTGCAAAAACAAAACCTAGGCCACTACATTAGTCCTGAGAGAGATGCAAACTAGAAACCTGATAGGATGCAGGCTTGTACACCCTCGAATAGTCAAGGCTGAGACTGATAGCATTACGTGTTGGCAAGTATGGGAAGCACTGGAAGTCACATTACTGGTGGGCTGTAAAATGGTACTGTAGAGACCGTTTTTGTTTTACAAAGCTTCAAGCTTAACAAACACATAAATGTCATACACCTCCATTCCACATTCCTACTCTACTTATTTACTCAAGAGGAATGTGTCTATACAGCCTCTCAAATGTAAGAGGCTAGAATACTCATAAGCCAGTGCAAAAAAACTAGCACCAAAGAAGTCTGTGAATTTGAGGGCAACCAAGAGAAAAGGAAGGAGGGAGGGGGGAGGGAGGGAGGGAAGGCAAGACACAACTAATAAAAGTTAAGCAGTAATCAGTTGCTTAACAACATTATATAAAAAGGCATTTTCCTCCTAAGTCACCAAGAAGGCATCAAGAGGGAAGGCACTGCTGGGACAGCTCAAGCCCCGGCCCAGTCAGGTGCTCACCTGTTGGTATGGGAACAGGGGCTTGACACTTTGGGTTGCTTTCTGTCCACCTCCTTCCAGCTGTCTTCGGTCCACTTCCTCTTGACCTGCTTGTTGTCTTCCTGCTTCTTCCCCACATACTCAGCATAGGTCTGGATCCGATAACTTTCAGCATATTTACTGGTATTAACAGCTACAAGGAAGAGAAAGAAATCCTTAGAAAAGATGGAGAGAGCATTTAGGAAAGGTGGTCTATGGTGACTAAGAAGTCCAGGCTGCTGGATCTCTTCCCTCTGTCTGATGAAGCAGTTGAAAACAGAGAGAGTGCCCACCCTGGACGGAGAAGGGTTTTATCATAGTAGAGGTTGGGGGTGAGGGGATTTTCAGGGTTCAAGACCCTGACTGGCCGACATTTGTCTAAGGGTCTCCTCACGTTCCTCAGCCTCCCCCAGTGTGAGGGGCTTTGCAAACAGGAAAGACATAAACAAAACACTGACTTTTCAGGTGTTTACAGCCAGTAAGACAGCTTGAAAACTTCATTTTCAGAATAAGACGTGTAAACAAGCAACCATTAGGCGATAACCGCAAACTCTCACTATTATAAATGAAGTGGTAACAAAGGCTGCATGCACACTGATATGACCACTATGTCAAAACAACTCTGCTACACTTCTGTGCTCCATGTTTCAGAGATACTTTGTTTAAGCTCCACAGTACATCCATGAGGGAGGAATTGTCTTTAACGATGAGAAACAATGGACTGGGAAGACAGCTCATTCAGTAAAGTGATTGCTTTACAAGTATGAATTTGAATTTAAAAGATCTGAGTTTGAATCCCCAGATCTGACACTACCATAAATAAACAAACAAATAAATAAATAAAGCCAGGGGCTGTGGCATGTGCTGGCAATCCCAGTAATGGGAAGCTAAGAGACTGAGATAGGCAGACAGGCCCCAGACCTTAAAGGCCAGCTAGACTAGCCTACATGGCAAAATTCCAGGCCAGTGAGGAACCTTACCCCAAACAAAGGTGGGAGGCCCTCCCGAGGACCAGGATAATCCTGAGATTATCTTCTGACCCACACACACACACACACACACACACACACACACACACACACAACCCAGAGTAACTTGGTACACACCCACCACTTGGCTACACTACAGCCATGGCAAGGCTCAGTGAAGACCAACCAGAAAGGCTGCCTGAAGTTTCAGTTTACCCTGGGGGCAACACCTGACTTCAGGAGAGACCACAGCTGGGACCTGGGTACCAAACATTCCAAAGGAAATTTCTAACATTCTAACCATTATAGGATCACCTAATGTCCCTTAGACTAAGCACACACCCATCCCCTTTCATAAAACACCCCTAGAAAAATATCAGCCAATCAGGGTTGAACCCTGAAAACTCTTTCACCCCCAACTTCTACTATGATGAAAACCCTACTAGGCCCAAGCTAGGCACTCTTTCTGCTCTCAATCGCTGCTCAAGCTTGAATAAAAGATCTTTGCTTTTATATATGGGTCTCCTTATTGGTTTTGGGGGGACTCTTCAATCTGGGCATAACACATACACAATGAGAAACAAAGTCACTGAGGGCAAGGGTTTGCCTACAGATTCCTCTACCAAGACTCAACACCAGGTTACCCAAATGCCAGGGCCCTTTGTGCTGCTCCGTACCTAAATTCTGGGAACTCTACAATCCTTGGCATTTGGGACCCCACTCCCTTTTTGTTTCTGTCTTTTTAAGATGGGGTTTCTCTGTATAGTCCTGGTTGTCCTTGAACTCACTCTGTAGACCAGTCTGGCCTCCTCTGCCTCCCAAGTGCTAGGACTAAAGGTGTGCACTTCTTGGGTGAACCATTTCTCAGGGATCCCTCAAGTTACCGCACTCACCCTGCATTCCCTACATTGAACATCTGGCTATACCCTGCAGGTACAAATGGGAAAAAGTTATTTTTTGTTTGTTTGTTTCTGGGTTTGCACTGCTGAGCACAGAACCCAGGGCCTGGAGCACACACAACAAGTGCTCTTCCACAGAGCTCTGCTCTGGTTACTGGCGTTCCAAACCCATGTGTGCCGGTGCATGGGACAGGTAGCAGTAAGACAGTAAGGATGATGGAAGGCCTGTCCTAGGTGGACGGCTCCATCACAATGGGTGTTGGCTCATGCAGTTTGGGCATGTGCTCTCCTTGCCTACTATCAGCATTATCTCTAATACTTGCTAAGAACTGGCCATGCTGCCGGGACAGTCTTGGTACCTAAGTAGCTGCACCAGCACCATGATGGTCACCTGTATCTGTCAGTGTTCGAGTTCATAGCAGATTCATGAATGGATGCAAGAAGGCAGGTGAGAGAGAGGAACTTATAGTCTCGGGGTACCACAGGATTGGACATTGAACCAGGCTTGGTGGCACAGACTTTTAATCCCCATGTTCAGGAGGTCAAGAAAGAGGGATGACAGCCTAAGGCCAGCCTATGCTACACAGTGAGTTCCAAGATAATTGGGCTTATAGAACAAGATCCAGTCTGGAAAAAGAAGAAAAGAGACTCTGGTGTACAAGGAAACTTAACCCCAAGAAAAGGAAAATGAAGTGCAAGAGGCAGATGCTACACATAGTCAAGAGTTGATTTTTTTTTTTAATCTTAAAATGGACCAGATTTGACTAAACTCCTCAGCACAATTATTTGTTTTATGTCACACCTGAAATATTTAGACATCCAAATATTAAAGTAAGAAAGAAGGATGGAGAGGTGCCTCTGTCAGTGTGGTGGTATGAAAGAAAATGACCTCCAAAGGGAGTGGCATTATTAGGAGGTATGGCCTTGATGGGGGACATTTGTCACTATGGGCGTTGGCTTTGAGGTCTCTTTTGCTCAAGCTTCCTTCAGTATGACAGTCAGTCAACTTCCTGCTGCCTTCCAGTCAAGATGTAGCCAGCATCACATCTGCCTGCACACAGCCATGCTCCCCACCATGATGATAATGGACTGAACCTATGAAACTGTAAGCCACCACCTTAATTAAATATTTTCTTTGTAAGAGTTGCTGTGGTCATGGTGTCTCTTCACAGCAATAAAAACCCTAAGACAGTCAGTAAAGTGCCTGCCATATAAGCACAAGGACCTAAAGCCCATGGGTGGTAGTATGTTCCGTAACTGTAGCACTAGGTGTGGGTATGGAGACAAGCAGATCCCTGAGACTCATTGGCCAGTCAACTTAGCCAGACCAATGAGTTCCAAGTTCACAAGGGGATGCTGTCTCAAAAGCAAAAACATGGAGGAAACATCCTTGTTGATGTCCAACTGCCACATACTTGAGTACCCATGTGCACATGTGGACACACACTAACAAATACTCCATCCACACCCTATGGACACCACTCACAAAGAAAGATTTAATATATTAAAAAAAAAAAAGGAAAAAATCCCAACTTCTTTAAGATATATAGAAATTTTACTAAGAGGTTTATGGTACTTTTCTATAGTGAAAGAGGAAAAACACCTCAATGTATTAGGAAATTTCCATATTATGCAATATCTTCCAAAGGAGTAGCAGGGATTGTTAGTAAACACAACCACAATCTCCAAGTCATAGCATCGTATGTGTAGAGAGCTGTGGTGGAAGTCACCAATGGTGTGATGCACCGGCACTGTCCCTTGAAATTTCCTTTGGTTGGAAGGTCTACTCCACAGCACCCGAAATAACCCCTCTGAGTGGAATGTGCACTTCTGAGGAGAAGTGCTTACTCAGATCAGTATTCCCCACAGCAGCCGAGGCCACAATGGGGCCACAGGGCAGAGAGGTGACATGTCCAGTGGTACCCGCACTGCCCCTAGTCACTGCCCCAGCCTCCAACAGTTCCCTGACAAAGAACACATCTGAGCACACTGGAATCCATCCCTTGAAAGGGAAAACAAGTAACAGTCCTTTCACTACAGGCCTCACATGGCAATGATTTACCCACATGCCTTTAAGTCCCAGCAGTTTTGCAGCTCTGGGCCTTTTATCTAGAAGCCAAGATCAGGCTCAGAGCCACACTTCTGATGGATGAATCAGCACAATGAATTGGCTGTCAACCCAGCCCATCAGCATCCAGTTTTCGTCTCAGAAGCAGCATGCGGCAGGCTGCCTGCAGACACTAGCCTTCTCAGATTAGCCAGGGAAATGATCCAAGGCCCTCTTTTGCTCCCACCATTTTGTCAAAGCTGATGTGAGACCAAACACATTGGGAGTCTACTCTGTTTCCCTGTAGGCAAGTGAGGTGATTCTCACATAATAATCTCACGTCTGGTGCCCAGTCCGTTGTCTCTTCACTTAGCACACATCACAACATTTAATCTCCACAACTCCCAGAGGAACAGATGTTCCAGAAGCAACAGAGCTAGTCTGAAACCAATACATAGGAAATATGTAGACAGATATTTAAAAGTGACATTCTGTCTACTGTGTATTTACAGACATTTAGTTTACTTAAGTTGACAACCATCTTATAAAATCCTGTATTAGGTGTTTTAATGAATTACTTAAAACGTAGAATTTTCCTTTCTACTCATTTTAATTAACCTTTGTAGTTGGTGTATGGGTAGTTTTATTGTCCACTTGACACAAGCTAACGTCATCTGAGAGGAGGGAACCTCAGTTGAGAAAATGCCTCCATAAGTAGATAGGCCTGTAAAGTATTTTCTTGATTAGTGACTAATGGGGAGGGCTCAGCTCATTGTGGGTTAGGGCCATTGCTGGGCTGGTGGTCCTGGGTTCTATAAGAAAACAGGTTGAGCAAGTCAAGGGGACCCAGCCAGTAAGCAATACTCCTCCATGGCTTTTGTATCAGCTCCTGCCCTGCATGAGTTCCTGAGCTGCCCCCTTCAGTGATGGACTACAATATGGAAGCATAGGCCAAATAAACCCTTTCATCCCCAACTTGCTCTTTGGTCATGGTGTTTCATTGCAGCATTAGAAACCCTAACTAATGCAGTGGGCATACAAAACATCAAGATTCCGAGTGCCAGGATAGGCTCCAAAGCTACACAGAGAAACCCTGTCTTGAAAAACCAAACAACAACAACAACAACAAAACCAAAACAAAACATCAAGATGCTTTCACTTACTACTAGATGTTCTTATTTAAGAACTCTGGGGCTACGGAGGCAGCTCAGTAGGTAAAAGGCCCAACACACAAGCATGG